AAATTAGTTTTTAAATTAAATTTTATTTTAAAAAAAAAAAAAAGTTGTCCATAAACTTTTGTCCATCCTCTGTATATGGATTATAATTCACTTATATAAATTTATAGTAAATTTAAGTATTGAACTGGTATTGAACAGATATTAAAGTGATACCATTAGAAGTCTTATATAATTTATTTAATATTTTTTATTTAGATTTCAAAGAAAGTACTATACTCTTTGTAATCACTTATGGCTTTAGATTTTTCTTTTTATCAGATCTTTTTTTTTTAAACAAACATTGAATTGAAATAGTTTTAGATTAGAATATTCTATATACTATGGAGTCTGCCATATCAGGAAATTATGGGTTTTTATTAGAGTTAGACCAGAAATTTTTTCTTGTACAATTTTTCCTACTTTAATCAATTTTTAGCCTATAATTATCAAAAAGATTAGAGATCCTATCTTCATATAACCTAACTAAATTTGGATTGGATTCAGATGTTTAAAGTATAACATTTGTATGAAAATCAATAAATCCACAAATGAAAGTTTTTATTATTATTAATTATCTTAAAATAATATTTAAACAATAAGTTTTTATAGTAACAAATAAGCCATATGGTGCAGGACATCTAGTCACATCCTTACTGCACTATAGCGCTGAAATCTAACCTGCAGGTATTATATCATGTGATAGGGTAGGGGTATATTACCTGACTAGTAATATAATCTGGTCACGTGATATAATTTAAATGATTGGTCATTCAGATTATTGAATTATTTGCTTTTGATTATGCAATATAATCAACTTTTTTGTAGCCAAAGTATAAAGTATGTCTACAAGTACTATACATAAAATGGTTCAGTTTCTCTTTTTCTTCAATAAAAGTATATTTATCGGTGTTCACCTTAGGAGGTACATATAAAAAGTATAAATTGTATTATCAAATTAATCACTGCTATTCTAATACCTATTACCCTGTATGTTTGTCCCCAGTCAATTATGAAAAATGCATTTTTTGATCAAGATTTTCAATCACATATATAAAATAAATATTTATACATGCTTTCTTTTTTTCGTTTTCTTCATATCAATTCATCTTGTTTGTATTCAATGTGTTCCAAAAATCGAATTCAACATTTGAAGGCTCTCAATGCCGCCAAAAAAAGATCTCATCAAGAAGTAAATAATAATGGTAAGTATATAATCACATAAATAATTTGTAGAATTTATAATGATCATAACTAATGCAAATTTACATAAAAAAGACAGTGATAATGATTCAGATGATGATACTATTTGGACAAATGATGACCTTGAAAATAAGTTAAAGGATACATACAGTCTAATACTAAATGCTGCAGCAAAACCAAATGCATTTAAAATAACTAGCCGGAAAGGGTTTTATGTTGAAGCTGCTAAATCTACAGTTCGCAATAAAAAAAAAGCATAGCGATTGGCTGCAGAGGGATCCAAAAAAATTGATAATTTTTTTCAACCATTGCCCAATACAACTGCAGGTAATTTGATACATTTTATTATAATGGTATTATAATGTGTATATTAACACTTTTGACTTGTTAGATTCGATTCAACAAACAAATAGTCCAAAGGTTAATGACTTATATCTGAATTATGATTTCTCAAGTGATGATGAAAATGTCAAGTTTTCTCTTGAAGAATTAGAGAAACAAATCAAATGTGGAATTAAAGATATTTGGTTACAATACATTGCGCAATACTTACAGCTTATAGAATCTGGATATACAAAACAGGAAGCCAGCAATTTGATTTCAACATCTATCAATCGTGATCCATGGAGTATACGATTAATATGATCTTGGGCAAGCAGTATTTGGAAAATGATACTATTTTGACTTCTTGTTGTGGCAAGCATCAGAAAGTTCATTTTCTCCTACTTGATAAGGATATTCGATACCAAGTTCAGCAGTATTTAAATTCAAATAAATTTGAGTTAAGAATTTTGAAATTTTGTAATTTTATTCGTGATACAATCTTGCCAGATATTGGAGTTGAAACACACAAAACTATCAGTGAAAGAACTGCACGAAGATGGTTAGAAACTCTAGGATGGAAATATAAAAAACATCAAAAAAAACTATATTTTGATGGACATGAGTATTGTCATATATCTTTCTACCTCAGGAGAAAGATATGGATGGAGAACTAGTAAAAGGGAGACACTTTATATGGATGGACCAATGTGGTATGCTAAAGTTCATAAGGGTGTACTAAAATTAGTACAGTTCTGAG